ATTTAGGAACTGGGGAGGGATTGGGAAGGGGAAGGATTGGGCCTCCGGTAACCTCACTCACACGGCGAAACACAACACTGTGGTTGTTTCACGCCGGTTTTCTGTGAGGCCGTGGTATCACTCCGGTCGAGCCGACCCAATCGTGCCCGAAGCATGGCTCTCCCACACTTAAAAAAACAACTTAAATATTCAACAGATGACGTCACAAAGTCTAAATTTCGCTAGTAAAGTTTGCGCGGGAATAGAATAAAAGAGTAATAGGAGAGCTATGCTTCTGCATGAATGGGTTGGCTCGACCAGAGTGATACCACGGCCTCTCAGGGGCCGGTATCACACTTGTAGTAACTTTTTTTTGTATTACGAGTATCCATGGACTGGACATGACATGGACTACATATTATATGCAACTAGCCTTGCCCGCGACTTCGTTCGCGTGGAATAGTGACTTTCTGCAGATTTTTGGTATTAAAACTATCTTATGTCCTTTCTCGAGTTCCAAACGATGTCTGTACCAAATATCACAGGAATCGGTTTAGTAGTTTAGGCGTGAAGAGAAGACAGACAGAGTGTCAGAGTTATTTTCGCAGTTATAGTTTGGATTAATGGAAACAAACAAAGTGTGGGACAACCATGCTTCGACACGAATGGGTCAATTCGACTGAAGTAATACCATGGCCTCATAGGAAATGCGTGAAACTTAAGATTACCGAAGGTCCAATACTCCACTTCCCTTTCCTTATCTCAGAATACCCCAAATTCTAAAGTCCCTTACTACCAAAAGGCTGGCAACGTACACGCAACTCCTCAAGTCTTGTTATTTGAAACCGTCTATAGGCACCCAGACAGCTCAAAATAGCTTAAACCACAATCAGTAGAAACAGGGTAAGTACCTAATATTATGAACCAACTTTATTACCTACATGAATGCTATTTATTTCAGTATTATTTCCTATCAATAAAAGGTTCAAAGTGCAAAAATGGCGTAAAATCAACGCACATGGTCGATTAAGGGATCTGCGGTTTATACTTCCAGCCGATTGGCGAAGTGGCTGAGCAACTGGCTGCTGTGCTACGAGTCGTATGTTCGATCATCGCACGGAATAACACTTTGTGTGACCTACAAATTGTTGTTTTGAGTTTGGGTGGCTTGCATAAATATGTTTGCAAACGACACAAAAGAAAAAGCTAACGTACTGGAACTTAAAAAAAAAGATTCAGGGTTGGGTAAAATCTTAAAGCGCAAATAACGTTGTTTTAATGAACTATATTTCAAACTCCTGATCAAGAATTCGTGAAGAAGAAATTTTCGAAAATCCACAAGACTTTTCCAGACCTTTTTAAATTACGTCACGTTTCACTTTTATCAGACCTATCTATAAATACGTATCTACACATCAAAGCATACAAGAACAGATGACACGTAACGGTCTCGTCAGTCAGGGCCGACGAACAATAGCCTCATCCAATCCGCAAGCAGGATGATACTCTACCAAGGGTACTCATTCAATTACCACCATCCTGTCGCTCCCCACAACTTCCTCCTCTCATCCAACAAACAAACCGATGTAACAACCTTCTATCTATCACTGTAAGGTTGATAATCCTATAGCAGTGTGGTTAACTGCGTAAATCTCAACGCGGATGCTGTCGCATTAGTTTGACAGGCGAGTTTGTTTATGTTTTGCTATGTTTTATGTATCGAAATGTTTATTTAATGTGCTTAGATGAAATGGACTTGGTTTATGTAGATTTGTTGGACAGTGAGGATATGACGTCTACGGCGTAGGTATACGATCTGTGCTGTGGACGTCATTACAATGTATTAATAGCATTCTAAGCTATGAGCTGATAGCAGAGTCACATACTTACATTAATTGCTACCCCTGCACGTTGATTCTATATTTTTTTTTTTTTTATTTTGAATCTTGTAGGTATAGAAAAGCCACTTTTAACGTCATCTCATACTTTATCTATCAAAATATTGCGGTAAATTTAGTTCAACTCGCAAGTGTAGCGCTAGTGTACTAACTACTCACAGCGGATTCAGATTCGAAGTCTTACAGAATCACATTAGCTTTTCTTGCCCCGAGTGTTATATGTCGTAAAAGATGACTAAGGAACTTACTCGTATATTCTGGGTGAGCCATGCTTCGGCACGAATGGAGTGATACCACGGCCTCGTATAAAACCGGCGTGAAGCAATACTTACGTTGTGTTTAGCCGTGTGAGTGAGTTTACTATTATGCCTAATTTTTTATACCTAAAATTCTTGACAATCCCAAAAATGCACGGTGCTGTACTTGTAGCTCATCGAGGGCTATGGACAACCAGAGGCGTCGTCGAATGATTACCATAAGGTAATCCCAAAAAAAAAATAACTTTAGAACAAATTATTTATATTTATGTTTGAATTTACTATCTAACACATTAATACCATTAATAGAAAAATCCGCTTAACCTTCTTAAAAAGGCAGACACTTTTCTAAGAACACACCTTATAATGAAACTTCCAGTTAAGCCTATAAACGCCTCTAATACATACTTTTTATAAGCCAAACACCAACAAAGTCAATCAATTTGATCCGACTAAGTAATAGTGCTGATTAAAATCGCTTGAGCAAAGAAAACTTAGAAATTCATAGCCAACTTGTACGGCTTTTTTAAGTCAGAGAAGAAATTTGTTATATCATAGTATAAAACAAAGTCGCTTCCTCTGTCCATGGATATGTACGCTTAAATCTTTGAAACTACGCAACGGATTATGATGAGGTTTTTTTAATAGATAATATGATTAAAGCGGAAGATTTATATGTATAATAACATCCATTAAATTGTGGAGAAATTTAGTATCAGCATTGCACCCGAGGGTTACTAGTTAATTAATAAACCAAACAGTCTGAAGGATGTTCAAGAGCATTGACGCAACGGGGTTTGATACAAAACTTCTAATCAAAATTAATGGAAACTACTGAACCGATTTTAATGAAACTTTGTTCTCATACACAATATATCAAGGCCTAAATTTAACTGGATGGTTAAAAGCTGCGCACTGTGCTGCCCATGAATATGAGGCCCAAGCATGGCTTGTCACAAGGGACACACTTGTCAATCCGAAGGTAACGGGTGCTAACACTATACCTCGGCTTCAGCCCGGGACAGGAGAAAGGTCATGGTGGAGTTTAGTCAGTAAGAACCTGACACTCCCTCTGGCCATACCCAGGGCTGATAAATCCTATGGATAACTTTCCCACATCAAAGAGCAGTGTCAAATAACTCTAAACCTTTAAAACTGCGATCTTCAAATCTTCTGTCTACCATAAAAAATATGGAAAAGCTTATTAATGTAGAGGAGACCAATAGTCTAGGGTCGAGAACAAGTACTGGACTACGTATCAATATTGATGATACACAAAGGTCTTTGTTTACATGATCTTTACAAGCTAGGTCGGTATTTTAGTTTCTAAAACAATTACCTATCATGCAGTTGCAGCTGATGATCTTCTATTATATAATAAAAACAGGCCAAGTGCGAATCGATTTCGTTAATTCTACTCAAAATTATTCTGATGTTGCGAGTGCTCATAGACGGCATCGATTGCTTTTTTTTATGTAATAGGTCGGCAAACGAGCAGACGGATTACCTGATGGTAAGCAATCACGCTGCCCATGGACACCCGCAACGGAGGAGTTACGAGTGCGTTGCCGACCTTTTAGGGATTAGGGATTTGGAGATTTAGGGATTGGGGAAGGGTCCGGGAGGGGGAAGGATTGGGCCTCCGGTAACCTCACTCACATGGCGAAACACAACACTGTGGTTGTTTCACGCCGGTTTTCTGTGAGGCCGTGGTATCACTCCGGTCGAGCCGACCCATTCGTGCCGAAGCATGGCTCTCCCACACTTATGAGGCTTATCATCAGACTACAACATAAAGACATTTTTAATTTTTAATAAAAAGAAGTTAAGAATAACATCAGGACATAGCGTAATGGTTCACTAGCAAAACAAATGACTGAGATGGTGTGGAGGCAGACGTACACCCGAACAAAGCAAGGGCTATCCGATAGTTTTCCAATAAATAAATGACCAAGTCCAAACAGAATGAAGTTATAAGAACTAGATAATAAGGTTTTAAATTATATTTCAGACACGAAATTTAATTAAGGACATATCATCACGCACGTTTCTTATGACAGAGTGATCAGAAAGAATGGACACGTTTTTAAATACCTGAGTTTGATAGATAAATGTTACCACGCAGTGTTCCGTGCCTTATCGAAGAAATTCAGATTTAATAGAATGTGTAATATTTGTGGAGTAAAAAATGTTATGGCGGGCCGGAGGTTAAGGGAATTAATACTCTGACTTTTTCCTAATCCGAATAACATATGAAAATAACAATGTTAATCGAGACTAATTTGAAATCTATTGTAATGTCAAGTTTTATTAAGATTTGCTTAAAAGTTTTTGTGTTAAACATTAGCAAATGTTTATCCAAAATCAAACAAATTCTTGCATTTATAATACTAGGTTTAAGCTGCTCAGATTTAGCTCAGACAGACAAACATACAACATACGGTCTCTTTAACTTTCCAATCTATAATACTAGCAGGGTTATAGTTTTTAGCATCAGTTTGAATTATTTCTTCCACATGACTGCAATTGCTGACCAAAACAAACATCTGTCTTGCTTTTTACTTTTTTCTTTTAAATAAAAAATTGCCTTTATTTGTGGATCACACAAAGTGTTGTTCAAAGTGTGTTATTGTCGTGGTGGCCCGGAGGTTAAGGAGCCCGCTTCTCATGCATGAAGGTGTGGGTTCGAAACCTGGCAAGTACCAATGTGACTTTTTCCGAGTTATATGTACTTTCTATGATTATTTAGACACCACTGACATACGGTGAAGGTAAACATCGTGAGGAAACCTGGACTTATAATTCCTATTTATAAGTTTGAAATCGCCAACCCGCATTGAGCAAGCGTGGTGATTAATGCTCTAACCTTCTCCGTGTGAGAAGAGGCCTTTGCTCAGCAGTGGGCTTATAGGCTGATGATGATGATGTTGTTCCATGCGGGTGTCGTAACCGCGACATGTTGCACGGCAGCCAGTTGCCCGGCCACTGCGCCAATGGTGCAGCGCTTTAATAGTACAATACTGTTATGTAAAATGTAAAATTTTATTGATTATCGATTAGAACGACGTTGCATGTTTGTATAATTTTATAACAGCAAAGAGGTAGCATTATAAAGAATCTAGGCAAAGCAGGCAATCAAATTCCACATGCAATTTCGCAAAACACTTAATGGACAATCAATAAAAGTTGATTTAAATTGATGAATTAGCTTGAAGCCAATTGCAGTCCAATTACGATAAGTGCCTGTATAAAAAATAATGATCGGAAATATAAAAAAACGCGTACCTACATCCTACCTACATTCAACTCCTCAACCAATCCTACCGCCTGTAAAGGTACAATGCTACTCGAGCGTATGGGTCTTAAAGAGCCAATAGACCGCCACAGACGGGGCCCAACAGTGCTGATGTTCAGCCAGGGTTGCGGTGCAAGCACAATAAGATACCATGCTCTCGGCTTGAAGCAGAAGAAGGAACCGGGATGGTTTTTAGTCATGGAGCAGAACAAGGATCGAGGTGGTGGTTTAGTCAGTAAGAGTTTGACACTCCTTTTAACCATAACCTGGATGAGAGAAAAATAAAAAATAAAAAAGAGTACACTCCGACGCCGCTCTTGGACAATGCAACCTAAGATGAGGTTTGAATATTAGAGATTTTGGGGATGGGGATGCTATGAGGATTTGGTCTCGACTTGGCGAAAAACGATACATGATTTTCTTTGAGTTCGTGATATCACTTGAAGCACGGCTCTTCAACTACACCTACTTACTGAATAAATATATATTATCAAACTCCACCTTGAAGAAAAGAAGATACTAATAAACATTAAGCTAGTACGCTTCAAGTATACATCTCAATTAAATATGGCCGGCACGCGGGAAAGCGTGAAAATCGTTATTGACCATCTAATTATAATTCTGATCGGGTATCCTCGCCACACGTTAGGAACGGTGACAGGAGATCCTCGGGGAATAATTTAAAGCTCTAGAGAGTTAAACCTTTTCACCAAGGTTAATATATAGTTGGTGTAGTATTATTAGTCCATGCATGATGATAAGCAATCAGTCGCATCATCCAAAACACCAGATGAACTTCAAATACATCGATGGCCATTGGAAAGCCTCCAGTAACATTGCCTAAAATTCCACATATCAATTTTCCCCATTCTTTGATAAGTTTTGAACCTTAACGTGTCCTAAAAAGTATGGTACAACAAAAAAAAATGTATGCCAAACAGAACCTAGTACCAAGCCACAGAAGGGGCGAATAAACGCCACACATATCATAACGACCCACACTATATGAAATACTTCTACACGTGGCCCTCATAATGAATGATGAGAAACTGTGACCATGATAAATGCATGGGAATAAGAGTTATTGGCACTGTTGGCATTACTAATGTAATAACAATTCGCAATATTACAAGCAGATTGAAATTCCCCATTACCATCAGCCTCGAATATATTTATGAGCATAAGCCTTTCCAGTAAAAGCTAGAGAGTAGAGTAGTAGAGAAAAGCTACAGCTTTTCATGTCAACATTTTTGGATATGGTCACACAGCTCAGAAGCGTCATTTAAGCTGGAAGACGTAGTCTTTTCTTTAAGAATGCCAAGAACAAGTCTTGAGATTTAGTGTGATCTTCTCTCTGGGGTTGGCTAATTCTTCTTCTGGAGGTTCGACCCTAGAGTTAGGCTCATCATATCTTTTTTTTTCGATTATCCTTTAAATATCATCATATATTGCATGTCGTATATACCTTAACTATGTTTCTATGTTTTTTATTGTCTACTTCTCTATCCTTAAATGAAACTCTGGTTATCGTTCATAATATCGGATGACCAACGCATACTCGGTGACACTAAATTTTTTTCTTACAATCAGAAACCAGAGTCAGTTTACAATAAGCACAATCAATTAGCTATATTGTCTTCTTTATCTAGTAATTCATCAGTGAACCCTGTCCATATGTCAGCCTGAATTACAACATCAAACAGATTTCTTTGTACTATGTCTTGTATGAGAATTTTATACAAAGGGAACGGGCGTCACTTGTGCAGCAAATGTTGCAACATGACTTACTGTTTATGTTTGACAATTATTTATATTTAAACTTGATAATGAGATATGGTCTTGTAAAGAAAAACCCTTATCTGCTGATCCCCATGTGGGAAGCCTTTTTCGAAAAAAATCATTCAATGACTTCTCTCGCCCAGGGGGAGGCGAGAGAGTGTCAGACTCTTACTGACTAATACCTCCCACGTATATTTTCCTGTTTTAGACCGAGGCCACTCCAGCTGTGAAGGAGTAGGCTGGAGGTTATAGTGGAAGTTTTTGTCAATGATGTTATATTACGCAAAGTTTCTAGTTTATCTATCTTATATCATCATATATCATATATCTATCATATCTTATAATGTTTTTATAAATTTTGTTGACTTATTATTTATATTATACATTAGAAACGATGCTACCACTATTAAAATTATAATAAAAAATCACTCATAAAATAAATTGATGTATTAAGAGAAGAGGAAAACACACAACGACGAACTAAATTGTAAATAGGTTTAAAATACAAAGAAAAATCCGCGAATCGAAAGGAGAACCACAAACAAAAACAATCAAAGGTCATAGTTACGAAGAAAACAATGGATATTAGTTAAAATTGAATCCTCATTTCCAGAAATAACTCCAAACGATCAATTCACAATCATTCATCAAATATTCAGATATTAAATTCATTCACAAGAAGCAGCGTCTATCTCAAAAACCGTTTAATATAAAAGAAAAAAGCGAAAACGTTAAATCTCGCAATAACAGCCATTCATCCATTCTCCAGTCACGACAAGATTCACTTGCTGAACCTATTGTAGCAAAATATACTCTATCACAGGCACAGGAAAGTTTAAATCCGATCAATGTTATTGAAACAATCGTTTTGTCGGCCATTATTGTTGTACGAGCATTTTCACATCGATGACAATAAACCGTTTGGTGTATTTCAACTTACTGATGGAGATTTAGAGCCATACAATGTTCTTAATGAAAACAACGAAACATCTGTAGCCATAACTGCCAATTTGGTAGGCAAAGCTAACACCAACTTAGTAGGCATGATCACCCATATTTTTACCTCATCATCATCATCATTATCAAGTGCTCACTACAGAGCAAATGCCTCTTCTCAAATGGTTAAGGTTTAACCATTAATCAACACGCTTTTTCAAGGCTCACAAACTGTAGGTCCAGGTATCCTCACAATGTTTTCCTTCACCCTATGTCAATAGTATCTAAATATCTTACAAAATACATAAATATCATAACTGGCAAAAGTCACATAAGTTTTTGCCAGGATTTGCACTTTCATGCACGGGCGAACGACTTATCCTCTGGGCCACTATGACGTTAAATATTGCATAGGATTGGAGATAGGATTAGATCCTTGTCGAATTCGTGGACTGCAGTCTCAATCCATTTGCAAAATTGGCAGGCCACGTATCTATGATTTGCTTGATAACACATAGATAGAATGCAACTACTTTTAATCCTTATAAGACTAATTTACTTAAACAAGGCCCCAGATTCTCATGACAAGCTAAATATTAAAGAAATTTGCCAAGATATTTTAACGCTTCAAACCAAGAAAAGAAAAATAGTCCAAAATATTTGTTTCAATACAACATATTCATATAGACGTAATGCCATGAATAATAAATTACACAATCATTAGAATTATGATAATAATGTCAAAATTCACAAATAAGATCCAACCTCCTTTTATATTCGTTGATGCATTTCTCGCCTCTTTGACCGTCGTGACCTTCTCAACTAGGTTAGCGTTCAATTTAAACTAGATTCATTTGGATGTCAGTCTGTAGTGTTGTAGCTCGTGTAGTTATCTATCTGCGATCAACAACTCAGTAGAATTGCAAATATCCTTTGGTTAGGCACTTTGCCAGATTATTCAGGCGTATCCATACCGACCATTCTATTTACTTGTAGATCTGTACCGAGAGGTATTTCTTCATCTTCCGTACCTTGGAAAACTATGATCTATATCATATCCACTGAGAAGTCTCAAGACACACCAATCGATATTTTTATTTTCTTTAACATGCTTTTCTATCTCTATCACCATTCCATCGTCATTTCCATTCGAATTATAAACTGGGTAACATAAAAACAAAGCACTGTAACAAATAAAATCTGTTCAATACGACGCGACGCATTAACTGGATTGTATTATCAACGCTTTAAGGAAGCTTAATATATAACTACACATATTCACATGAACATTGTACATCATCGGAAATCCTATGCAATATAATCTCAAACAATAGTTTTATGAACACACAAAACGGTCACAGAATCGATTCTCATGAATGGTCGTTGAAGCGATCAAGCGCAACTAGTTCCCATTGTATCCAATATCGAGGCGGAATAAAATCTAACCTCTATGCAGTAATTCTCTTTTCACAATCACATAGGTAACTCAAAAGGTCGATATGGAAGAGTCCTCATTAGAATTTGGGGTTAGTTCCAATACTGAAATAGGTCGCTTATATTTAGTAAAATGTTGCAGTTTCAAACACGATATTTATTTTAACAGTTACAAAGTCGATCGTAAAGATAGTTTTTTAGATGTAAATATTTAATAAAACAAATGTACTCTAGAATTTGGTACGAGAAAAATTTGAATTAGTTTTAATAATCAAAACAAAATCAATATTGTTGATGGTTTGTTTTTCTTGTAGACCGTCTTTTATCATTGTAATTGGTAAAAAGTGTGTTGATATTTCGCGTGGGATAATTAATTACAACGACGATTGGCGTGTCTCACATAAACACTACCTACACAATTTACAATTTTTATAAGTTTAAACAGATTCTTAATTTCAGTTTGTGGTAAAAAAATCCACGTTGATAGACTGACGATATCCACAAAGGGGCTGGCAGGGTTGGATGCAGGTGTTTTGAAGAGGCCAAAGTTTTTGTCATACACTGACAGTAATAAGATGACCTTTTGAAACTCGTGAGCAGTTTTTAGTTACATAGATCAACGAAAATTCAAAAAATATTAGTAAGTCTTACTTTCCTTCTTACTATCCTAGCCCTAGTCTAAGTATCCTCATCCCAGTCATAATAAATGGAGAAGTTTGTGAGGTTGCATGGATGTATGTTAGTTATTCTTTCACGCGAAAACGGATGGACCGATTTTGCTTTTTTTATGTAGAAAGGTGTGATATTCTGGATGAGAACGTTGCCCACTTTAATCTACCATGGGTCAAAGCCGCGGGCGGTAGCTAATACTTACTTACAATAATACTTATCAGTATTATTTTAATTTTCGTTGCTCTGAATAGAACTGCTTGGAATCAATAAAACTTCTTAAGACAAGTGCTTGTTAAGCTATTAATTAACCTTTGATTAACACCTTTGTTAGATTCTAGTTCAAGCGTAGTCATAGATCGGATTTCCCTACCTGGTCACGTAACGGGATTTTCTTCTATTAGTTCTGATCGGTATAGTGGATGGGTTATGTAATTTATATCAGCAATCTGATCTTCTGTGACATGGCTTTGATAGGTCTAGACTCGTTTGGAGTAAGAAACTTTATACACGTCTTTTAGGTACGAAACAATACTAAACATATCTGTCTATTCATATGTGTAACTTCTAACGCTTTGTCGACCTTACCCAAGCGTTTACTTAGGGACAAAGTCTTGTAATCAAACTATAAGCCATTGTAGATCAAGATAGCATTAGTTATGTACTTACTTACGTACCGTACTATTGCATCTAGAAAAAAAAAACAAAAATTCCGTTGCGACCTCATTCCGCTTTTAACTTCTTGTTTTCCTTTCACGAATCAACGACGACGTTTTAACAACAAAATCAATGACGAAGTGTCGAGTATAATTTTAGAAATTTTTATCGACGTTATTCGATAGATTTCATTCTTTGGTATTTCATAGGGATATTACATAAGCTGGATAAAAAACAATACCACAATAACATGCTTTCTGCATATATGCGTTTGGTAAATCACAAATGCCACGATACGTGAATGCTATAGTATAATAATAGCACAATACCTATCCACTTTCCTTCCACTCCTATTTCCAGCTCAGTCAATAGATTTAACGAGAGAAATCTAACAACTGAATGATTAATTTGACCTTCAATCTCTGCGACAAGTCGCAATCAATTAAATTCTGCCTCACAAATCGCATGCGTTCGAATATCACCTTAACTACGTTCCATTACAAATTATGTCCAAACATCAACAAATCAAAAATAGACGTTTTGTTTTTTAAAAGAAATACGGAACGTGGAAACGTCACCACGATCAGTGACATTCTCGGTGTCCAGATATTTAGAACAAAATTCTCGTAACACAACAAAATCTTAGTGCGACCGTGTCATAACATACCGGTGTGAATCGTTCCTCCTCAGCATTAAGCAAATCACCAACAGAAGATGCTTTCGCCTGATTTGCCAAATGCCTTCGGCTGTTCAGGACATAGGACAACTCATCCAGGTAACGCAGCGTCAAGTTAGCCATTATTCACAACACTAGAACCACTACAAACTGATCATTTACCACTCGCGTCAACAATAGCCGGCAGTAACAATAGGATAGGAAACTGACTGATTCACGTAAACAATTCTGTGAGAATCGCGGAGTAGAAGTTACGTGCGTACCGCGCCATAGCCTCGTCGCAACTGAACGCGACTCGACGGCTGCGCTGTTCACCGGCCATAGAGTAAACATACGTAGAAAGTTAATCGGGTACGACCTTATTACAGTTTTAGGTAAACACTTTTAATAACTAGATTAAAGTATTCGTTGAGTCACTTTTAACTGAGATTATGTCATTGTGGACCTGGTCAAGGCTAGATTTTATGGTGTTCAAACAATGAATTTGATACCCATCAACTAGTAATCCCGTTAGACGCTCCATATTTTAGGTACAGAACATCTTTGTTTAGAAATCGATGCAATTAGTGGGGAAATCAAAGAGCAATTAAAGTTTATAGTTGAACCACATGAAGCTGGTGCGGTAATTAAAAAGACGAAACTGTTTGCTTAATTACACTTCTAAGTATTGACGAGAAAACCACATAAACCAAGTTAGAAGGATAAAAGTCTTTCAAAGACGTAACACCAACCTGTTAACTAATAGAAATTGCCTAAAATTAAAAATGTTCCATATCTTTTATTTATTTAGTTGCAGGTCACTGTTTCTTACCCTCCTTCTATCTATACACACTTCTAACACAACACACAAATCAATTTCCTTTACCGTAAGGATAGTCAGAAGACACCGCAGCAAATCTTTTTCGTCACTGACTCGTACAATCGCTATCATCATCATTATCAGTTTGTCACTGGACATAACCTCTTCAACTGCAAAAGCACGCCTTTAAGTCTGATCCACAACTCTTGACTCTTGCTATCTATAATAATGACTACTGATCTGTGTCTATTCTTGTCTATTGCATTTACGATTTCAAACGAACACTCTACACGACGTTGATTTGACGTCTCAAAATCATTTCCTAGGTGTTACGTAAATCTAGCTCAGAGCTCGGAGCTTGGAGGATGTCTGTGAGAGTTGTATGTAATGTAATTAGCACTTATATTTATAGTAACATATTCGTTTCGTTAGAGTCTGCTAATATATTGGTGAGAATACCTTGGTAGACAAGGTTCTGTGGCTGAGAAAGTGATAGTTAGATTTCAAGATATTTTATTGTAACTTTTTTCGCTAAAATGTTATACATTCATACATCAACAAGTCTCAACATGAGATTGAAAATAGTTTCTGATCTATGAAGAAAGTACATTCATCAGAACACATACGTAACCGCGCTCTTTTTTTTTCAAACTAAAAAGTTATGCTTTTTTCAAACGATAAGCACTTGAGAACCATTTATTAACCATACTTTGCGCCAGCACATGTTTTGTCGTAGAATATCTTCATCTAAAAATGCTTTGGTAAAAAGTTATCTACATTAGTTAATAGTATATTGTTCATGACCACTTGAGCTATCTTTTTAAGGATCTTTTGACTTTTCATTATCTAGGGAAGATATTATCAGTCAGTTTTTTTGCTTCTAACAATATAAAAACAAATGCCGAAAGGAATTTTGTATTGTTAATGAGTTTAGACAAGGCTACGATAACAAGACTGCATCTTAATATTTGTTATTGTGAACGCAAAAGAAAGATATGTATGTTTGCTTGCTTTTTACGTCCTTACTAGCGATTATGTGGGTGTAAAAAAATACTAAAATAAGGGCTATTCTTAATGCTAAGTCCACTTACAATATTCTAAATAGTAAATCCATCCATTTCGGGATACTTAACATAAGGGAAATTTCAGTAAACGTATTTTCAACTGTCACCATATTTATTTGGCTATACGATAATAAAGTGATTCAGGACGGAGACAGTGACCATTGTTTAGCTGCTGGTCCGACCAATGGTTTCAAAAGATATGACTTCATTAAAAACCATATAATTTAGTGTAACAATAGCCTCTGTCTCTGTACAGTCCACTTCAATTTTCTAACCCGCATATCAAAAACTGTTTAAACTGTACATTAAAGATCTAGAGAAACTGGGAAGCGGTCGCCTCTTTCTGCAAAGATGTTAGGCTCGCAAAGGAGGAGGCGGAGTGTGAGAGGTAACTATCTTCCTGACGCCTCAGCAGCCACAGGCGACACTCGGGCGTTGGAGATCGAGAGATGATCCCCGGCCACCGTAAGCGTGGGTCTGTAGACGGCGAGTAAGGGTAAAGCAGGATAAGGAAGGGGGGAGAGTTTTGGTCAGTAAGAGTCTGACATTCCCTCCCTGGGCGGAGAAGTCAATTGATGATTTTCCCCTCACAAAAAGAAAAAAACAAAAAAGATGTTGATTTAAAACAAGCAATAGATTCTACTAATAATAATAATAGTTTGTATTACAAACGAAGTCAGTCACTATAATTATAAAAAATATGTTGTATAATTTCTATAAAACGTCTAATTTACAGCTTACAGTCTAAACTTTTCTAATGAAGCTGACGTTAGATGATTAAGAATGCCCACGAACCTTCAAATTCATTTCCATCAACATTGGCAGAGTAATCGGACAACCACTCATCGTTAATAGCTGTCATTTGCAAACGCTTTCAGGATCACGAATTCCACATTTTCGACAGCAAATATGAATCACAACAAGATTCAAATAAAGTGTAATTAGATTAAACCTTTATGCTTCTTTTAAGATTCATACATAAATTAACGTTTTATTTTCGTAAATTTCGAGGAAAATAAGTACTTTATCAGTAATAGCTTCTATAAGTATAGGTATACAATCATCTTTCACATTTAGGTCGTGACAATCACATAAAAAAAAGCAATATACAATGATATATTTAAAAACGTACAAAATATTTGTGCAAATTCTAGATTGCTAAAAGCGATCTAGTTCCACTAACAAATACAGTATAAGTACAGTATAACCTAAAATTGCAAGTGTACCCCAAGGTAGTGTTTTAGGGCCAACTCAAATAGTGTAGTTACGCGGCCGATAAATGAGATTGGGAATGTGCAGGAGCTTCACGTTTTGAGAGTACACGCCCGACATGGGCACGGTAGGTCAGTATTGTACCAGCTAATGGCCCTTCCTTTCACTTTCGCACACAATCTGAACTTTACTAGAGCAATGATTGGAACTTCATTCTTTTAGAAATCGCTATTAGCACCGCAACTTCGTTGTTTTGTTTTGTGTTGTTATTCTTTACTAGCCAGTATTATGATATCAATAATATTCATATATTCAATATCTTTTTATTTTATTTTTATTTACTTAAAGGGTTTACCAACAGCTTATGTGTAGACAAGTCTTAAAGTATTTTTTTTACTTAACTAGGACTTACACAGTTGCCAATTATAGGTTTTTCAAAAAATATTCACAAAATTATGATTATCTAAATTGAAATCTAAAACAATATGCGAAAATGCGAAAGTAACTGTGTTTGTCTGTCTCTCTGTCTGTATGTCTGTATTTTCTTCATGCCTTAACTTCTGAACCGATTTCTGTGAAATTTGCTACAGACATAGTTTGGAACTCGAGAAGGAACACAGGATGGTTTTTATACCAAAAATCTGCAGAGAGTCACTATTCCACGCGAACGGAGTCGCGGGCAAAAGCTAGTATTTTCATAATATGTTGTTCTAATGTATCATGTACACATTTAGTCGGTAGTGGAAGACTTTACTAAAAAAAGATTTTTTAGTCTTTACCGTCACGCTATTAGTATTCAATTCTAGATGTATTTTAATTATTTTTTTAATATATTTTAAATATCTGCATTACTTTTTATATAGACGATATTCTAAAGCTTTCTAAATTAGCCTTGAAGACAATGTGGCCTCGTACTTAAACTATTGGAAAATAGTATTTCGAAATTATACTTTTGAAGTCACTCGTGTAAAGAATGCAATCATAATTATTATTACAATAAATTCACTACTTATTCATAAGATTCCGAAATAATTTCTTCATTAAAATATTAAGTAATGTGAATGTTGAAACACAACTTCTGAAGAAAAAAACGTTGCATATGACTTTTTTAAACTGATATCTTCAATGCCGTCAGATCGATTGTACCAGCTGTGTCTTTTAAGAGTTTTTGCAAGGATCCTTTCAAAATAGAAGCAAAAAATACAGGTAGAAGTGCTGTTCTACTGCATATGGGCACTGTTTTGGTAGTTATAATGAAGATGGGTAAATGGTATCCACAATATCTACATACCGTTCCTTGCGATGTCACAAGAGTTCCAGAAATGTTCCAGATTGAATGATCAGTAGGGTACATTAATACAAAGCATATACTGTTTGCCATCATCAACATCATCATTGCCCACTGCTGAGCAAAGGCATCTTCTCACACGGAGAAGGTTTGAGCATTAATCACCACGCTAGCTTCCCCTTAAGCTAGCGTGGTGATTAATGCTCAAACCTTGGAGAGAGAGAGAGATTGGAGATTTCAAACTTATAATTAGTAAATTATAAGACCAGGTTTCTCACGATGTTTTCCTTCTCCGTCAAAATACTCTTACGATGGTATACTTGAACTAAAACCTAAAATAAGGCACATTAGTTTATGTAAACTTCTATAAGTCGCTTCTCAATTTTCGAATCCGCACCATGTATGAGAAGCAGCCTTAGACCCCGGGCCACCGCGACCTCACATTTAGCATAGTCTAGTAACGTATCAATCTATATACCAAACATTAAAATTTAGATCAAATAACTTCAGACTCCATACTCATACTCATTTTAAGTACGTTAATAGGTAAACCCAGCCTACCTAATCTATACAAAGATCATACTTAAGTCTCCATGTTCTCTCACTACGACAGTCAAAGAGCAGGGCAATTTAATGAACATACGAATTACACTTTACCTACTTGTGCTACAAACTGTTACGTACAGCGATGACAGCTAGATACCAGATATATTGTTTCATAACTGAGGCCACGAGAGCACCGTTTTACTCATTTACGACA